CCGCCCGCCCTCCCCACCGCCGCCTCCGCCTCCCCCGAGCCTGCAGGCGGCGCCGAGGCCGAGGAGCGCTCGCTGCAGCACATGCTGCGCGCCATAGCCGAGGAGCGCGGCCGCCTCAGCCTGCGCCGCGAGGTCTGCGGCCTCGGTGAGTGGGGTCGACCGGGGGCGAGGCCGTGGCCGGGCCGGGGCCCCGCGTCGCCGGGGTAGGCGCGCCTCCGCACGTCTGTCTCTGCGTGTGTCTCTGGGGCTCCCTGCGTGTCGCGTCGTCGTCCTCACGCCTCCAGGTCCCCGCGTCTGGATCTTTCCTGTGCCCCTGCGTCTCTGCCTCTGATTGTGGTTCCGAGACCGGTCCTGCACGCTCGCGTTCCTCTGTCTCTGTTGCCCAGGTCACTCGGTGTCTCCCTCTGTCTGTCCATCCGGGTGTCTGCCCCGTCTCCCTCCTTCCCCTCCGTGGCTCTGCCTGGCCTCCTTCTCCTCCAGGAAGCCTTACCCGGGGGCCTCAGTGCCGCTGCAGGGAGTGTGGGCGCTGGATTTGGGGAGACCCATAGCCCATCATGGCAGGGCCGGGGCTCCGTGGGCTCTGGGCAGACTTGCCTGTAAGACGCCTTGGCCACGATCTCCAGCTCGCCAGGAGGGCATGTCTCCGGCTTCCTGAAGCCTTTGTCTTTCCGCACCTCTCTGCACCCGCGGTTTGGCTTGTCCATTAGCTCTAACTGGGGACCTGTTGGACCTTGGCCCCCTGAACCCACCCAGCACTGCTGCCACTGCCTCTGTGGGTGTGATTCTGCTCTAAGGAGGCCCGAAGTCCCAGATCTGCCTGTGGGGTGGGGTAGGGGTGCCTTGTATCATTTGAAGGAGCATGGAGCTGCAGGTGTGGGTGGGGTCTCTCAGCTTGGTTGAGTGTGAGGTAATGGCTACTGATGGATCTTGTTCAGACTGAAGCAGGTGGGGCCCCCCTCCCTGTAGTGTCGGGTTTGCCATTTTCTCTCTGGAAAGACCCCTCCCTTCTTCATGTGAGAATGACTTCATACCACGTTGTCAGCCACCCGCCACCCCACCCTCATCCCAGTCTGGGCTGGGGATTTCTGAGGGGGCGACAGCATTTTGTGAAGGGAGAAAGGAATGCCAGCCTTAGAGATTCTACCAGCCCCCCTTCCACTCACCTTTGGGGAAACTGAATCCCAAAGAGCCAGCGTGTCGCCCCTAAGGTCACAAGGTGTCCCAGGCCCCCCTCAGCAGGCCACGCCCTGGAGGCTGGTCATCCAGGAGAGGAAATATATTTGAACCCTCCTTTTTTGTCGGAGGCGGGCTTAGTATGACACTTCACCCTGCAGGTCTCAGCTCAGCCTGCCCTGGAATGAAGCTTTCCTCATGGGTGAGGGTAGAATGTCTACAGAGTGGGGCTGGACGAGGACACAGTTTTCTCTGGTCTCTTCTGAAAAGGTGTCACTACTTAGTTTTGAGCAGGAATTGAAGGATCCTCATTAATCATTCAGGAAACATTCCTTGAGCACCTACTGTGTTCCAGGTGCATGCCTGCCTGGCAGGCCGTCCAACACCTGGCACAGAAGGTCTGAAATGGGAGGGGTCTGAGGGACCATCTGCTCCAGGCGCCTCAGCCCTGTTTGCTCAGCAGCTCCTGGCACCCCTCCCCACTCCCCTGTCAGCACGTTCCTGCTGTCCTCTGAGCATCGTGCCCCGTTAGACGGCCCCTGCCTGAGGAGCCTGCAGTGCCGTCCCCTAAGAACAATAGTAATTTGCTCTAGCACCTGGCCTTTACTGAGCACTTACTGCGTGCTCTGTCAGTTTGATACTGACTTTGTCAGATGGGAATATTATCTGCATTTCACCAAGGTGCAGCCTGAGGTTCAGAGAGGCAAGAAACTGCCCAGGGATGGCCAGCGAGGAGGTTGTACAGCTGGAATTGACCCTTAGTCAGTCTGACCCTAGAGTCTGTCCCCCCAGATGGGCCCAGCCAGGCCTTGCTGCACCTTCTGCGTTGCACCTGGGCAGGAGGCCTGCCCCGTAGTGGGCCAAGAGCAGAGCCTGGTGGCTGCTCTGTTGCTGTGTCTCCCCTCCCAGCCTCCAGTCCACTTTCACACACAGGGTCTCCCCATATTATCACCCTCCAGCCCCCCAGAACTCAGTCCCTGTAGTGCTCTCCTGCTCTGCGCTCTTATGCCCGCTGTTTTCTCCGCCTGGAAAGCCACCCCCTCCTCATCTGCCCTGCAGACACCTGCAGGTCTCCCTTCAGGCCTCAGTGCTCAGGCTGCACCTGGGGACCCTTCCTCAGCTCCTTGTCCTTCTGCCAGTGCTCTCTTTGTCTTGGCTGCATGTCCGCTGGATGGTCAGATGGCCGTGGCACTGTGATGGTCTGTGTGGCTGTCTCCCTAGTTAGCCAGCGACTCCTCCTCCAGGGCATTGCCCAAGTCTGAGTCTTCTCCGTGCCAGGCATGGGGTGCGTGCAGGGCAGAGGCCCAGTGCACATTCAGCAAATGGACAAGAGAATTAATTTCTGGATGGGGAATTGAAGGGTGTGGATGGCCGAGGAGAGTGGAATCTTAAACTCTTCGAAGGGCTCATGTGGCCCATCTGTTCCGTTTTCAGATGTTCAGAGAGGGGCAAGCTAAATAATGACTTTGTGCCTAGAGCAGAGTTAGGTCAGGATACTCAGCCCAGGCACCAGGTGAGAACCCACAATGCCCTCCAGAGCATTTTTCCTCTTACATCCGGTGATCAGGTAGCCCTCTCATCTCCGCTTTGCAACTGTGAAACCCTGTTACACTGATGAATTCATGTAAACCTCCCCAGATTTTTATTGGGGGGGGTGGGTAATTAGGTTTATTTGTTTATTTAATGGAGGTGCTGGGGATTGAACCCAGAACCTTGTGCATTCTAGGCACACACTCTACTACGGAGCTATACTCTCTTCACCCACTAAACCTCCCAGATTTTTGTTGTTTCTTAAAGCTTACGTATTCAGAAGTGTGGCATGTTCTCTGAGATTGTTTTAAAGGTATAACGGAGCCTCTGGGAGAGACACTTGACCCTGGACAAGCTATTGTCACTTCTGAGTCACAGTATCTGTCTATGAGATGAAGTGACTGCTCCCCGCTGCCCCGCCATGGGGTTGGGTACTTGGCTGTCATGATGAAAGGTGCCTTGTAGATCCAAACCTGATTTTTTTAAAAAATGATTTATTTATCTAATTTGGCAGGGGGTAATTAGGTTTATTTATTTATTTATTTATTTATTATTTTTGACAGAGGTACTGGGCATTGAACCCAGGACCTTGTGTCTGCTAATCACACCTGATTTTTGAACCTTGTCTGTTGTGGCCTCTGCAGTAGAAGCGTTTTTTGAGCACTTGCTCCTTGCCAGGTGGAGAGATTGGTCTTGATCCCTGCCATGTGGGAGGACACAGCTGAGCAGGGGAGAGAGCCAGGTACCCAGGTGACTTGGCTGAAGTATAAACCCTGCTGGAAGAAGCCAGGGTGTGGCCACTCTGAGCAGGATTTGGTGTTTTATCTAGAGGAAACCGCCTGTGATTCCAGGTAACAGGTGAGCCAAGCTGGTGGCTGAGGTGGCTTGTGTGAGGCTCCAGAATCTGTGTTGTGGGGAGAATCAGCTGGTCCAGTGCCCAGGTGTTGTGTGATGGAGCATCTGGGCCAAAGGTGGAGGTAGCCTGACACTTCCTTCTGGGGCTTGGGCCTCCTATTGGGCCCTGGCCGTGGGCCTGAGTGTGCCATGTGGGCAGGCTCCCAGTCAGCAGGGCTGCAGGCCCCTGGGTCAGCCACGTGGATGTGACCTGGGTGTGAGTCGTGGAGAGGCGCTGTAGGGGTTGTCTCTGGGCCCTGCCTTGGCCAAGCGTGTTAGGAGCTGTTTGTGCCTGGGCTGTCACGCCCTCTTAGGTGGCCTAGGGAATTTTCTCTTTCTGGAGTGCTGTGGGACAAAAGGAGTGTGTTACATTCACTATTTCCTTCTGTCCTCAAAATAATCCTATAAGGTAGGTACTATTAAACTCTTCTCTTTGTCCTGATGAGGAAACACAGGTTTAGAGGTGAGGTAACATGTGCCCAGTCACATGCCAGTCAGTAGCAGAATCTGTCTGAGCCCAAGCTCCTGACAGAGGTGAAACCCCCAGATCTGTCCTCGGGGGGCTTGAGGCCTGGCCGGCATAGGTGTGCACAGCAGCCTGGCCCAAAGTGGACTGAGGCAGGACCCGGGTCGAGGTGTGCGGGGTTCTGAAGGGGCACAGGGAAGGGAGCCACCAGGGCTGACCGGGGGTTCGTGCAGTGCCTGGCCTTTGAGAGGGGCTCAAAGTGGAGGAGCAGGGAGGCTAATGCGGCTGGAAGGGTAGCCGTGGGAGCTGACGCTGGGGCGGTGCCTGGCTGGGAATTTGGCACCTCTTTGACCTTCTATGCTGTGGTTGTTATAAAAGATAGGAACACCTGGCCCAGGGCCCGCACGTGGAAGTTAGAATTGGATTGGCGCTCTGAAGTTCAGGCTGCTTCGCAGTGGCTGGGGCTGCTTCCCTGGCTTCCCTGGGGCCCGGGCCATCTGACCCTGAGGCAGACAGCTGGTTCTGGGCCAGTGCGGCAGGGAGGAAGTGCGGCCGTTTGGAGTGGTAGTGGTGCCTCTTTCGGTTCCTGCGCCTATTTTTAAGGTCTGTGGGTTCCGGCCTCTATCTGTTTCTGGGGCTGGAGCAGCCCCAGGAGGCTGCTGGTGTGGTCCTGTCCCAGGGCAGGGACTCTGCGTCCTTCCAGAGAACCCCGAGGGCATTGGACTTCACACTTTAAGGAGGCCAAGGATCACAGCTTCAGGGATTCTCTGCAAAGCGAGAGGGCGATCAGCTGTCCTGGCACCTCCCTCGGCCCTCTGCTCTGCCCCTGCCCTGAGGCTTCCCACAAGCTGTGCCCTGCTCTGTGCCCTCCTGCGTGCTGGCTTCTTATTCACAGGCCTCCTCCTCTGGGAGGGCTGGGCCATGAATACCAGCTAAGCCTTGAGGCTGCTGAAGAGGAGCCCCAACCGAGACACTTGTTTAAAAAACAGCCTCAAAAACCCAAAACAGATTTTTTTCCAATTAAAAAATGTTACATGTACATTTTACAAACTGGAAAGTATAAGATAATGGAAAAAAAAATT